GGCGAAGGGCGGCGCGGGGGCGCTCCCTGATAAGAAGCGGGTTTTGGGCCCCAAATCACCCATGCCGGCGGCCGGGGTCGTCTCCTGCCCGCCCCCCGCAGCTCCTTGGGGCTCCGGGCGGGCGCTGGGGCCGGGGAGGTGACTCCGAAACACGGGGCTGTGGGACCGCGGGGGTTCCTCCTCCCCGCCGCGCAGGTGCTTCCTCCCTTGCATTCCCCGCAAAAACCCGTGGTAAGGCTGTAGAAAGTGATGAAGGTGGAGGGTAGTAACTTTGAGCTCCCCTTGAATTTCTTCCTTCACGGCCCCTACGGGTCAGCGAGGTCCTGTTTCCCCACGGCTCCTCTAGCACAGGAGCAGCTGGGTACAGGGCGCTGCAAAGTCTGTGGAAAGCTGTATCTGGGCTTACGGGAGGTGAATAAAAGCTTACACACCTATGTAATTGGCTGGTTTTTTTTTGTAACTAAAATGCAACATGGCAGGATGGGTAAAGGTTTTGAATTCTGTAATTCAAGTGCAGGAGGCAGAAACTCACCCTGCACAGGTCTTTAAAGTGATTTTCTGGGAGCGAACAGCTGCTGTGTGCCCTCGGGAAATCAAGACCTTTAGAAGGTCTGGAAAAACAATTACCTCACGAGGCTGCAGGCGAGTGATCTGTACTCTCCATCATCCCCTCTCCTTGTCTCCTAGTGAACAGGATTCGCTGGGTACTCTTTCCTCTGCTTAAACTGGCACGCTCCCACAGAGTGGTTTAAAAATCATTTATCGGTAAGACACTTGGCAAAAAATAAAATTCCTACCAGAAGGGAGTAACAGGGAGTTTCTTCTCTATTTAGTGCAAATTCTTGTGATTTTACTACTCCAATGCAGTGAATTTTAGCCTGTTTGGCCTCTGTAGCTTTACCTCATGTAGAATTTCCATTAGAGCCACTGAAGAGCTGGTGCTACAGGCATATGGTGGCAAGAAAAATGCTTTATTGTTGAAACATACACCCAAACTATTTCAGTGTTGTTCCCAAAGAGCTAATTTTAACCAGATGGGTATCATTCTGGCACCTCATGTTGCTGATTCCAACATGGAGAAATATTGCACGGTCTTTTACAGGGAGAGCTGTGGGCTTTTGTGAACAGGCAGATGGTGTTCCTTACTATGTGCCTTGTTTTCTCCTCAAAATGTCAGGAGCATATAGTTAGTGTGTGGCAACACTGCACAGTCCACTATGGGCATATTTGTCTAGCAAAAGCCCAAGACAAAAGTGACAGTCCTCTGTGCTTTGCTGGTAGTTGAAAAGGCAATTACAGGAAAGGAAACATTTTTGTCAGGTATGAGACCCAAATTATTGCATGTAAACAAAACCAAAACCAAAACTGAATAGTTGCAGTGTGGTATGGTTCTTGAGGAATTTTAGAAAAATATTATTATTTAGGGTAAAGAAATTAGAGTCAAATTGAAAATATGAATTGTCATTTAAATGTTGAAATGCTAGCAAGGTAAAATATTAGGTAAATGGAACCAATATTAAGATAAAAGCTGCTTTTGTTGAAAGATTTCTTGTTGATGACTTGTTGAAGGATTGGGAAGAGCAAGAAGTATAGAAAAAGAGTTGATACTATTAAGTATTGCCAAGCTTAGGCAATAGGCCTTACACCAGCTAGGACAGCCAGTGAGGCATGTTGCACTTGCTTGCAGTTGTGTCTTGTACTAGAGGGAGGCAGCAAGGCTCCAGCATCCTTGCGGTGTTCATTGCATGGTCCTTCTCAGCAGATTGCAGGGCTGCTCATCTGGCAGGCATGTCTAATAAATGATCTTCCATCTAGACTCATGTTTCAGTCTGGAGGATCATGAAGGTGATGGACATCATATCTTTAATAGCAAAACTCCTAAATGTTAGCTTCATTAAACAGTGAGGTCAAAAATATGGTGTCTGCCATGGTAAGTGACAGGAGAGGCATTCATGTTTCTACTGGCAGTTAACAGTTGTGGGGTTAGAAAAGGACGAGAAGCATGTGGGAGGTGAGAGAAGGTTGAAGCATTTACTCATGTTCATTTAGGGACTTTGTAACGAGACACAACATAATTACTGGCACTGCTAGATTCAAAAGATCTCCTTTGGCCAATATCATTTACTTTCCACCCTTAAGGTAGCCATGTTGTTTCCAAGGTGAAGAATAAAGGCACTCAGGTTTCACTGTAGTGAAAACATACTTGACTAGAGAAGTTACATGTTGTGGAGAGATTTGAGCATGTCTGGGCATAAAAAGGGCTGAGCTGGGGACCGAGGTAAGGAGAACTCATCTCTTTGCCTTTATACCCTTTAGCGTCATTGCATGAGCGACTTCAATTCCACATCAGAACTGACCAAAGTGTCAATTGTGTGCTGGTGTTAGCACCCATTGATCTACCTGCCCTTTGTGATGTGCCTAACCCCAAGTGATAGTTTCCCTCAAGATTTAGAAAGTGACCGGGACTAAGGCCTCCCAGAGCAATCGGGGAGCAGTTCTGGGTCCTCCCAGAGCAGTTCTCTTGGGAAGTGGTTAAGAATAAACAAAACAAAGCTTGTTATGTTTGAAAAGAGTGCAGACGTCTTCCTAATTTGCCCACAGCTACATTTAAGAAAAATGGAATAGGCGTCAGGTGTATGATTTGTTTCATGTGTTCAGCTCCCTTGAAACATATTTTCCTAATTCCTCTATGATTTAAATGTTTCATTTATTTGAGCCCTAAGGGTATATCATATCCAGTTCTTTTCCATGGCAACGTCTGTTTTCAGCTTTTGCCATCTGGTATTTCATATATTTCCCTCTCTCTTTCTTTCTCTATTTTTTTTTCTTTTTTTTTTTTGCTCAGCAGCTCTAACATTAGTCATTCTGCATCCATTTTGACTTCAGTATCTGAGTGACATTTTCTTTATTGCTCATCAGAAATTTCATCAGGTCTGTATTCTAGTCTTTTTGCAGGTATATAACTAATTAAACTGGCTGAAGAGTCTAAGGATTTCTCTTTAAAAGAACAGGTGTGCTGCTTTATGTGAAACATTAATAGGCTATTTTTTCAATTATTTCTACTCAGTATTCACTTGCATGTTATGGTTTTAATAGACATCTTTTTCTGACTAAAATTTTTGTAACATCTACTGTTAATGTTTTACAATCAAAAAACTCATACCTAGCTTAAAAAAGTAGGCAACCCCATCTTTTTTATTGTCTACAGTTTAGTAATTAACCTTTATTTATGTTCTCTTATCTAAAAATGTGGAAAGTAGAAAAGCTAGTATAATACACATATAAAAAAACAGTAGTGTAATTAGTTGCTAAATATGATAGACAGTGCTTTTTTGTTGTTGTTGCTTTTTTATAAGTGGTTCATCTTGCCTTTACATGTTTTGGTGCTTGGGGTATTTTTTTGTCTTTTTTTTTTAATTGCTGTTTTAAAAGCTGCAGTTGTGAAGGTGATGACAAATATCTGGAAACAGAAGAACAAGGTGGAAACAAGATGACCATACCAAAGGAGTTAGAAGGCCCTAAGATGGTTTCAGGCAAAAATTGTGGTTTGGCAAGAACTTTATGTCTCTAAAGCCTGGGATATTGAATCTTCGGTCAGCGAGTCTTCCTCTACTATAAGAAATGTAATGAAAATCTGGTCCTGACAGTCTCTGGGAAGCATTCTAGTACAAATGAATAAAAATTGTTTGATTGTTTTCATGGTTTCTAATGATTATTCTTGCATTTTTAAACTCACCACTCTTTGTTTCTCAGAGAATTGCCATGCTAGTGTTGCCATGTATGAGAGAAAATAAAAAGAAATAGAATTTATCTGCCGAGAGTCACGATGCAGACAAAAACATCATGAAGTTTACAAAGGAGCAAATATGCTAAAATTGTGAGCTGACAAAGGAGTTTAACAGCCATAGAATTTATGTTCTCTAGAAGTCACATGGGGGCAAATTAGGCTTTGGTATTGAAGGTTTCTGAAATAAACAGAAATCTGAAATAAACAGAAATGCATGCTTCTACTGCATTTGGCAAAGTTAAAAGATTATTTGCATTTTCTCACTCAATGTATTTCATCCTCCTAGGCAGTTAAAAAATAGAAAGCTATGTTAATGACATGAATGGAAAATTAGAAAATACTTAGCTCAGTACCAGGCAGACATAGGCAAAGCAATTAATCTGACCCTTATGTTTTTAAATGGTATAATTACATTCCATTAAGGCTGTCATATACTTACATCAAGAACTCCCTTATTGCTAGCATCATGGCCCTTCACAGAAGTGGCAGTGAATGCTGAATTTTCCCTATGCAGGTCTGCCAATATATCTGTTTAGAGTGAGTTAATTCTTTTATATATATATATATATGTGTGTGTGTGTGTATCAGGTGGAACAACTATTTCAATGCAAACCTAATTCTTTTGTAGGAAGTGTATAAAATCTGCTGTAAGATAATGACTGCTATATGCTTTCATGTAAAAATAACATGAGATACCTACTCAAAGTCTGTAACTGCTTTTCTTTCTTTCTTTCTTTTAGATTGTGTTTTTGGAGCACAATGATCAGCAAGAGAAGCTGGCTAAGGAGTGGGGATTCAAAGCATCTGACATAAGAGAACTGAGTAATCAGTATGTGTTTGGTTTAGATTAATTTCAGCAAATGCAATTTGTTCCCTGAGTGGAGTAACAGGAGTCTATGTGAACAAATTTAGTCATAGAGCAAGCTATAAGTCCAATCTTACGGGCAAAACTCCCTTTCAGTTCCATGAGAACTCTTAATCCGAGATGCAAGCGTTTTGGATTAGGTGTGGAGTGTGAACGGTATACATGCTTTTGGCATTCTTTGGTATGGGACCACAGCCATGAGTCAGTTGTGCCGGCTGATTCATACTGCACAGTGCAAAGTGCTATATTTAGTTTTCATATATGACCTTTTCTCTTCATGCAAAAGTAAATGACATTCTTTAGTTTATGTTGTATGTCTGTACTGTTAGCAGTGGGCTGTGACAACAGGTGAGAGCTGGTAACTCTACATTTAACAAATGTGGGCAGCATAAGTGTTGCAGATACAGGACTGAATAGTTTGGGCCTTGATAACCTCTCTAACAAAAAGTAATTAAAACTAGTTAAAAAAAAGAGGGTTTAAATCCTATAAACATAGAACCTTGCATTTCAACTTGTACTGCAGCAAGCATGTTTCTTTTTTCCTTCAGCCAACAAAATCGCCACTCTTTAGGTGAAATTAAATGTTTTTGGACTGTACCTATTGTGCCTTAAATTCAGTAGCACAACTGTAAGCTGCTAGTGGCTTAAAGTCTAGAGACACAACATTGTTTGAATGCTCATTAGTTAAAGTCTGTAGGATTTCTTGGAACACTAATCATACAGAATATATGAATCTTGAGATGTTTTCTTTTGCATTAGAAATATCTTGGGGAAAATGGAAGGCAATGGGAATGCGTATCTGATTGGGAAGGGTCTTTCAGTGTTTTAGCATATAGGAAGAGGGGGATTTATAAAAAGAAGAAATCAGTGTTATCTCTGTAGTCAGGGAGAAGGCAGGATAAGTGAGAGAAATTTAATATATATGAAATTCCAGCACACAACTAAACAGTTATAGTGATTTCCCAATAATGTTATTCTCACCCCTGTTATTACATGTGTAGTGCATACAGTGAGCTATATTACGTTTTCACAGTAACTATATCTTTGCTATCAAAGGACTGAATAGATTATTTTGTCAGCATCTTCATCTGCATTTGTAGACACAGTAACTCTTCTTCCATTAAACTTTGTATTTCACTGATTGTTTACATGTGTAGACACATATATAATGTATAGAAAAAATGAGATGTAGAAAGTCACAGTATTGTAAATATACTTATCTGTCAACTAAATGTATCTAGATGTATACTAGAAAGCAAGAGTGGGCCAATTCTTCTCTTGTTCAGGTATATTCTATTGTGGAGTAATTTTAATTATTGTGGAGTCAGCCGAGCCTGGCTTATTCGTATTTACCCTTGGTAAATGCTGCAGTTAATTGAATTCATCGTGCTCCTGAATTAACTTCTAGTCCCCTGTTGTTTTCCTCTCAGTTACCTACATACAAGTCTATATAAAGTTATCAGTCAACTGCTTCATGCAGCTGAAGTCTAGGGGTCAGCTGGGATTGACACACTAATGGTGAAAGAATGAGATTTCTCAGTCCTGGCTATTTCTCTGGTGATTCTCAATCATGAATGCTGTTAAAAGCAATATTTTTACCTTAGAAAAAATCTTTGATTTGTTTTTGTTTTTTTGTTTTTCTTTGCCTAGTGAATTCTTCATGCCAGGATTGGTTGATACACACATTCATGCACCTCAGTATTCATTTGCTGGTACAAGAGTAGATCTACCTCTTTTGCAGTGGTTAACTACCTACACATTCCCAACAGAAGCCAAATTCAAAGATAATGATTTTGCAGAAGAAGTGTACACCAGAGTTGTTGTAAGTATTACAAATGTCATTTATTTATTTGATTGCATTCATATTTATATACATTTTCAGAAGTTTGGGAGAAATAGGAGAAGGAGAGCATGTGCCATATAGCACTGTTCTAATTGTCTCTCCTTTACTAGTTGCCATCTTGTTCCTTGATTGCTGATGGGACAATTTATTTAGACACATTACTAACAACTACCTTGTTTATCTTTTCTTTTTCTGGTATTAGGTATATTGACAAATATTTAGGATTGTTGTCAGAGCTACTAATGCTGGCTGGTGCTGATAAGCTCAATTTAGAAATAATTGAGAGAAATAATTTCTTTAATACACCAAAGACCTGTAATGTGAACACATCTTTGGAAAAGACTATAGGGACATGAGAAGAGGCTTCTTCCATTTAACAGATTTGGGATGATCCGGACAGGTTGAGGAAGCAGCTTCTACAGCTGAGGGAACTGTAGCAGGAATTCATTTCACCACAGGGCCTTTAGCTGAAGTCTTTGGATGATATTTGTGGTGTTAAGTAGAGAACAACTGTTTTGAACTATGTGAGCAGTATAAAGACTTGAAGGTCAAATTCCTCTTGAAGAGCAAAAAACAACGAGGTCAGGTTGCTGAGTACTGATTCTGTCCTGTTGCCTGAAATATATCCTATAATAAGTGGACTGATACACCTCTACCAGATTGATTGACATGGCCAGCATAAGCTTTATGTCATTTTTCTAATACTGTGACTGTATGTGTTGTCAAAGTCACAACATTCTGGGTCTCAAATAACTGGTTATAATCTCCTTGCCACATAGACTTAAAAAAAATGTCCTTCTGCAGTTTGATACAGTAAGAACAGCTGGGTTGTGAGTTTAGTAACCCAACATGTAAGACTTGAGTGATGTAAAACATAGGGATTATCCTTCCTTCCACAATATACTTCAGCATCCTGTTACTGTTTCCATCAGTTCAGACAGGATTAAATCAGGTGGTCCATGCTCACTGTGACATATATTTAGTAGTATCCCCAAGAAAAGAATGAGTGAAAAATGGAAATTAATTGGAAGAACTTGAACACAATGGTTAGCTTCTTTCCTGTGTGTATCAAATAGCACAATGTCAGGAAAGTGTCTTCACAGGAAAGTGTTACTGCAGATTATTAATAGGTCTCATGGCCAAGTGTATCGGAACTGTCTAAATAGCTGGATAGCTAGTATTTTCAGCCCAACTCATTGGTGAAAAATATTCAGAAAGCTACCTTGTTACATGTTTCTTCAGTCTTAATCAAGTCAGAAGACTGAATGACTTTAGATGTGACTTAGACTTAATTGCCATAAAGCTGTGCAATCATGGTCCATGAAAGAAGACTTTGAAAGTATAAAGGATTTTTATAAATCAAAAAGTGCCAAAGTCTTGCACTGAACATCTCCTGCAGATCTCAAAAAGTCAGGGGGATCTCAGAAAGGACTGGTGATGGAAAAGGATCAAGATTAAAGGTAGAAAAAGTGTAGGAAGAGAGGCTGGTAAGCGCTGGTGTGTTTAGCAGATGGTGACAAATGAAGAATAAGATACAAGTATATAAAACAACTCGTCTGGGTGACGTAGGCTAAAAGTTGTACCATCTAGCTTGTGATAGAGGGACAAGGAGGTGCATAGTAAATTTAAAATAGGGTAAGTAGAAGTAATCGTTACATACTTTGGAATAGAACTGTGGATCTTGTTTTCACAAGTTGAGGCCAAAATTGAGTAAGAGTTAACTGCATTAGTGTGAAAAATATCCTCATACTGGAAATAAAACAGCGATGTTTTCAAATTGTTACTGTATTTCCAATTAACTTTCTGTGCCTACTAAGAGTGAAGAATCAGTTGAAACTTGGCAGAATTTTAGCTGAGATCCCCTGTGGTCTCTCAAATTTTAAAAAGACAGTGTTCTATCCAAACATAAATGGAGTAAAATGTTTTTAGTTTTTATTAGACAACAAAGTTAAAAATACAGAAGAAGAGAATTCTAGCTTTTAAAAGTTAAAAATGACAAAAATAGTTTGTCTCACCAGATAAATCATTATATTGAAAATCATTTTAGGCACACTTGAAGATATGTTTTTGATTAATGGCCTTGATTTGAACATCGTAGGGAAAAGACAGAGCTTGGTTTCATATTTATGAAGCAATTAGCTCTAGCCTTTCTCAAAAGCTGCATCTGATTTGGCAATGGTCTTCTGCTGCCAAATTAAAAAAACCCCACAAAATTCAATTGACAGTGTAACCAGCATACAAAGAAATAATTTAAATCTTTATGGTGAATAAGTAATGAATGAAGTGTACACTGGTCCCAAGATAAAATGAAACTATAATTCTTAATATAACTATAAATGAGTCGTTATGTTTTATGAGTGTTTACTGTTCTGTCTTCCAAAAGTAGAATGAACAAATACTACTCATCTTCTCCTTTCAAATTGTATAATTAAATAAATAGTTAGATTAAGCTCTAAACAATTGTTCTCTACTTGCTTGTACCTTGAATCTTGTTAAATTGCATTCAGAAGTGAGGAAGGGTTTGTCTATGTGGAAGCCAGTATATCCTGTTGAGAACACCCAGTTGTTCAGGTGGGCAAATCAAAGTAATTACTTTTTCCCAGAAGCTTTGATTTGCTAAAGTTAGATAAATAGTACTTCCACTGTGAAAATCAGACAGTCCTTTTAAAATAAGGAGTTACCTAGATAACTAGTTATTTGTATTTCTAAATTTAATTTGAGTTAGACATAAGTCAGAATTTGCTACCAGTTTGACTGAGGGAGTTAAAGATGTGTTTCTATGGGTCTAACCACTACTATAAACCTGTTCAGGTTTGGAAGAGGATTTTTTTCTATTTATTAATATTCACATTTTAAAAAGCTACTATAAAATTAAAAGGCTATATTTTACTTTTCCACTCCACTGCAACTTCTGTTGAATAACTAAATGTTCTTGCAGTTTGAAGTCACTGACAGCCTGTTCTGCATTTTGGCAGCTTGGCTACTTTTTTTTTCTTTTTTCCCAGACAGTTGAAATTGGTTTCTTTTTATAGAGACGAACTCTGAAGAATGGCACGACTACAGCTTGCTACTTTGCAACAATTCATACAGATACTTCTCTTCTCCTAGCTGAAATTATAGGTAAGACTGCAAGAATGAGTTTTGAAAGATGTTGTGTAGACTATGTTACTTGAAGCTAACGGAGCTTAGGCATTTTAGATTAACTGTGAATCTTTTCCTCTATTCATTCTTTTTATTCATTTTCTCTTTCACTCTTTGTCCCCCAAATCCAGTCCAGTTATCCCCATTCATTTATTTATCCTTCTGTTGTTAACTCTTTCTGTCTCTGCTATTCTTTGTTCACAATCAGCTGCAGGCTGAACTCAAATTAGGTCTAAAGGAGTTGCTCTTCAGCTGCAGTTCTCTTCTTCCACCCTTTTGCAGTTTGAGGTGTAAAGGGCTAAATGATAAGAGGCACAGTCAATGCCTTAATTTCCTGCACCTCTCAGGTTTCAGTTGAGAATCATCATCAAAAAACTCTGCACACCCTTCAAAATCAGAACAGTGAGAGTTGCATCAAATCTTATTTCTTCCTCTTTTCCATTGTTAAAAATGCTTTTTTTTTTTTTTTTTTTTCGCTAGTGTTTGCAGAGAGATATTTGCTCCTGAAGGAGGGCAAATTAAGGAGAATCTCAGTTTCCAATAATTTTCTAGCTTGTCTGCTTTTGTAATATATTCAACATCTTGGACATTAAAAGAGATCTAATGTAGAAACATGTTTAAATGTATAACAATTAATATTACATGTCTTCCTTTTAAATTTTGCTTATGAATTTTGAAAGATTTGAAGAAATGGGTTAGAAGTAGCTGTGATTATTTCCTCCGGTCAAAGACATGTTACAATCCTCCTAATTATAGCTTAAGGAGAAGGGCTTTCCAGATATCTTCATGTCTTTTCTCAGTGCAGGGTGCTCACCTGTTAAACTTGTTGTACTTTGGTGCCTGTACTTTTCTATGCCATGAGACATTTCTCATCTTCTGCTTCTCAGTGGTTTCCTTCAGATACCATCATTATCAATTCTGGTTGCAGTTAAGTAACAGTAATCCAGTTCTCAATTATAACGCTTATAAAGCTGGGTGCTAATGTGGAAGAGCAGAGTTCGTATTTAAAAGTTTTTGTTGATATTTTTTCCCCCTTTTGGCTCTGTAAGTCTCATGGATGGTACCAACTTGAAGAAAAGAGAGTAAATTCTGTTAATTTCTAAATGGCACTACCCGGGATAGAATTTGCTATTTTGATTTCAACACCAGCTTTGTCAGGAGTTTTTGAGAATGAGTGAGTGATAAATTCTCTTTTCTTATGCATCTCCACAGATAAATTTGGTCAAAGAGCTTTTGTTGGCAAAGTCTGTATGGATCTGAATGACAGTGTTCCACAATACAAGGAGACTACTGCTGATTCCATCCAAGAGACAGAAAGGTAAGATGATTAAATTGATAGAGCTGCCTTCAGAATTTGAAAGCCAAGGAATTTATTGAGAACTTTCCTTTTTTCTTCCCATGGCATTGTTTTCTGTGGTGCTAGCAATTCATATGCAGGTGCTGCAATGCACATGCAGTTTCTCTTCAGCTCTTCTTAAGGATTAAGGAAACTTCAGTTCAAGAAATCAGAAGGAATATGTATGTGTTGTATCCTCATCTTCTCCCTCCCAACTCTGTTTGTAGAGGTTATGTGACTTGGTATGGGCGGAAGCAGCTCCTTTGCCCCCGTTAATCATCGAGCTTGTTCCTTTCCCCATTTAGGCTTTATTGAAATTGTAGGAGTCAACCCTCATATACCCCATTTTAAACATGCTCCAGTTCTTATGTCTTCTACCATAGCATCGGTGAAATTTATGCAACATGCAACTAAGTGAATGAAAAAAAAAACAAACAAACTGAAACACTATACCCTGTGGATTTCTGGTAGGCTAGAGGGGAAACCATGGTTTGGGTATAGAAACCTGCTGTCTTAAGCTTCAGCTTTCTTGTCTGTGCTTGGAAAATGCTTAGGCCAACATGCAAATATGCTTATATACTTTTTTAAGTGTTTCAGCTATAAAGCTCACAAAGTAACTACATGCCACGAAATATTTATATTACCATTGCCTATGTGAAATTGTGACATTATTTTTCCAAGTAATGTTAGAAGAATGGCACTAAAACACATTTGAAGTTGCAAAGTGTCATGGATTAATGGTGTTTATTTTTACGCCTATTTTAAAACATTTAAAATCGTTTATATTGTGCCAACTTTTGTTTTTCCTTACCTAAAGCTATTCTTTTTGTACAGTCCGTTCTCCTGAATAGTCCTGAAAGCATCAGAACTTCTACATCCAATCTTTTTATTTTTATTTAAAAAAAAAGCTTGAGAATGACTTAAATAGTTTTCCTTTAAATACCTGTCTGTGTCCCTGCTCCATTCTCCTGTAATTATGTGCATAGCAAGTGTTTCACATCTTTGGAAGAGAGTGTGCTACAGGTGCTCTGTGGCTGTCTTACAGTGGAGAGCTGTGCATTAAACAGGAAAATTCATTTCCAGCATGTCTGAACCTTACCAATATATTACAGAAGGGTGAAAAAGCTCTTCCTTTTCCATAAAAAGCCATTTCTTTCTTTTTTTTTCAATAACCTAAGGGATGTGATCTAACACAGTGTCATAAAATTGATTTCAGTACTTCACAGTCAATTGATAGAAATATTTTTATCTTATGTATGGAGTTAGTACACAATTTCAAGTAATTTTTATATTTAGTCTAAATTCAGATTAAGAATGTGAATCTACCCATCTCCTGAGAGGAGGATCAATACAAAATTAGATAACTGAAGCTTATATTTTATGTTATGTATATGGATATATTATTTAATATTCATCTTACAAGAGCAGTCATCTAAAAAGAGGAAGCCATGAACCCGTGTTCAAATCTATTCTTCCCCTACAGACAGCAATGTTTTGAACCTAAGCATCCTTCTTTCTGTGTATGAACCAACAAGGGGTAGAGTATACACCTTGTGTGTGTGTAGGTATATAAATATGTGCATGTGTGTGAATATATATATGTGTGTATGTGTGAATATATATATACACATACATATATATATGTGTATACAGTGTGTATGTGTGGGGGTATTTTACTATCAAAGCAATGCTGATACTTTTACTGAAAAAAAAATTGAATGAAAATAACCACCCTGAAGTTATCTGGGAGAGCAATGCTTACTTTCTATGTTCTGTTTCACTGAACAGAATTAATTATTGTATCAAGTGAATCATTAAAACAGAGACAGATGAACAGGAACATAATTCGCATTGCTATTTGGCTTGGCAGTGGTGGGTCAAATTCCATTGATCATAGGCAGAAATAAGCGTGTAATTTTCAGCAGGTCACCTGGTACTGGGTGCAATACCGTGAATCTGGATGAATTTCTTTCTACATTATTTAACAAAAAGAGCCACATTTGATCCAGTGTTTGTCATTAAATAAAAATAATAAAAAATTTCTAAAATAAACTGTGACATAAAATTCACAGAGACCCTGTCCACAGTCCTTTTCATAATAGCTTTTGAGAGTTCTTTTTATACGTAGCATGTGCAAGTTTGCAGGGCATTCCTTCTCTTCAAAGTCAGAGAAAGTTTTGTGCATTCATATGTATTGCCCATATAGACTGTTTTAGAGTTTTTATAGAGAGTCTCTGCAGTAGGTCTTTGTGTTTGACAAAGTCTGTGAAACTACACTGTGCTTTCCATGAAGTAGATAGTTTATGCACTAAATATAATATAAGCACTTCTAGAAAATCAGGGATCCTTTCAGCAACGGAGGAAGAGAGATCCATAAGTTTAAATCTCAACATATGCAACTACTCTAAAAGAGATAAGAAATAATTGCAGCATTTTTTGAAAATAGGACTTGAAATGACAGAATACATTTATTGATGTGATTTAAAGAATAGACAAATAAAAGCATTTTTCTCTAATGTTGCTGCTGTAGCATACAATTTTGTTTTCAGCAAATCTAGTATAACGTGTGTTTGGTTTTCACTGAGAACTCAGAGTAATTACCACGTGTCTAGTGTTAATTATTAAAAATGAAAAAAGAAATCTGCTTATTTAGGGTCAAATTCACAACTGGCATATTTAGTTTGTTTCAACTTTGTATTTCATCTGAGAATCTGGCTAACTTTCTGCATATAATTGTCTGAACTGCTTAATAAAATGCCTAAGTAAATATTTTCTATGTTTTTCTTAATTTATACAAAATGTGAAAACTTAAACTTTTCTATCCATTTTTTCAGGTTTGTTAAAGAACTACTAGGAAAGAAAGTAAGTAGATTTCACCCTTGTATTCATTTATATGTTCAGAAAATACTGTATGGAGATATGGAGTCACCAATCCCACTGACAAACTTTGTCCTAATGACAAATGAATAAAAATAAGCCAATCAGTTCTCAGTCTGCATGTACTTTTCCGCTAGCCAGGCTTTTGAGGAATGGTTTTGTAGCCATATAAAGTCAGTTTTATGTAGTCAGACCACAGCAGAATAATGTTCTGTGAATATTTTTTATTCCCTTTAAAAATCATGGCTTCCTTCAAGGGGCAGATTTCTGTTAAAGAAAGGTGGAAGATCGCTCTGTGGTGTATTTAAGTGCTCTAATAAAAGCACTCACCAAAAAAACAGATGTCTTTATGATTTAATTACTAATTCATTACCAAATTACTATTGGATCAGCACTTGCATTCAGTGTGTTTTTGAAGAAATTCTGCAGATATAGTATGACACTCTTTATATACAGGGATTCTTTTCTCATTAGCTTTCTGTTTTCTGTAGCTTAATTCGTTAGCAGTTGTATCTCAAGGTTTTTAAGAATAGATGCCTAGAGTCTAGTGCATAAATTGCAACAGTAAATGAAGTAATTTCCCCAAATCCCGTATCTGAGAATTGGGATAAGAAACTGCAAACCAAGTTATCGTATATTTTCTTTTAGTAGTGCCAAGTGCACAATGCCAAAAAGTATTACCTGTATGAGGACAAATAATTCAATTGTCTATTTTTTAATGAAAACTTTAATCTAGAAATGAAAAGTTTAAAGTTGTTTAACTGCAGCTGTAGTCTAGACATCTTTTTCATGGTCTTCTAGTTGCATAGCATTTCTATGTCCTTGGAGTGACAGGAAGGATGCTTGTTATCAGTGAATAAGATCAAGAAAGGAAGAGACTTGTTTTTACAGAATATGCAGTTTTGCATCATTTCTTGCCCTTGTAGACTTGCTTTGAGGCTCATGGAGGCAAAAGTGAGCCCCCTGAGGCATGGATGAAAAAGTGTTCACTAATGACTCATCTCGCTCAATGCCTACTTACTTCCGCAGCAAATTAAGAGAGCATTCAATGCTTCTTCTGAGATCTGATAAAATCTCAGTGAATGAAGAAGGAAGTTTGAATAAAAAAGCTTGTTTTCTGGAAACTGTTCTAATGATTTTACTAAAATGTTTTGATTCTCTTTCTATGACAACATTTCTAACAAAAGTCAGAAAATGACTGTGTGGATTGTTTGTTCATATCAGCCAAGGATGCTGCAAGGGTTAAGCCATACAGACAAAATCAAGTTGTTGTGTAAATGCTTGTCATTCATTCTGCTCTTTGTTGTGGTTGCTGATATGTATCAAGCATCAATCTCAAGCATGTCTTTTTGATATTTGCAGTATCCAAGGGTACAGCCCATAGTAACTCCTCGCTTTGCCCCTTCCTGCACAGAAGATTTGCTGCAGGCACTTGGCAATTTAGCAGAGACTCATGATCTCCATGTACAGGTAAATTCTGAAAGTGCTATGTATAATTTCAGTGTTGTGCATACAGACCAGAGAATTGTTCGTAACTTCCACAAACCACTTAGACTACATTATTCACTTCTAAATTTCTGTCTTTTAAATTCCTCTGAAATTTTGGTGGTCCTCTACCAGATCACTGTGACCTGCACAGCGAATGAGACAGCTTGCAGCTGGAATTTCAGCAGCCTCCAGCATGTGCTTATTAGCAGACCAACAGCAAGGACTGGAAGTTAAAGCAACCTTTAGTTTGCTAAGGTTTCTCTATCTTACTCCAAGCTTGCTCACCTCTGTCTTGCTGCCTCTTACTGTTTCTACATAATGCAGGTTTCAGTAGATAAAACAATTAGGTACCTTTCTATCATATGTAACATCATTATCATAGATGCAGAGTTTACTGTATGATAAAGTTTCTCTGGTTAACAAAATGCTAATTAAAATGCTTTTAAATTTTTGAGATTTTTTTTTTAAATTAAGCCGTTCTAAGTGTATACTATACTTAACCTGCTCTATGTTAAGATCATTTATCATAACAAGGCAGTTCATTACTTCCTCAAGGCAGTATCATTACTTCCTATATTCTCAAAATATAGGAAGTACGTGCTCCAATGACAGTTCAGGATGAGCCAGATTTTTAGTTGAGACCAAGAATTACTCAGCCTATGTGAAGAGATGTGGAACAGTTACCATTTATGTTGCCCTGTTCCAAGGTTGCATATTTGGTAGACTGATATCTTTTATCTTGCAGTTGTACATATTTTTTTTTTAAATTATTATTTTAACATTTGCCAAATAACAAGTGAGTCTGTATGTCACCGTAATGCTGGGATTTACTGTGCAAACATTCCTTTCCATATCGGTTTTAAAGGAATAAAACATCTAGTCTTTTGGATCCTCTGGTGGGATTAGAAACATTCAAGGACTGGATCTCAATACAGACTTAGTAAAGACTAATTATAGTCTAGCCATAGCTGAACACAACCTGAATATAACGATACTTATCACCTTGTGTTTTCCTATCACAGAGTCACATAAGTGAGAATGAAGAAGAACTAAAAATTGTGAAGAACCTGTTTCCTGCCTATCAGAATTACACTGACGTGTATGATAGAAACAAACTGCTTACCAGTAAGGTAATTTCATAGAACCTTCAACAGATTTATCCATGTAGAGAATATGCTGATGAATTGTAGTTGCCAGAGAAGTGTGTTCTTTTGTCTAGTTCAGGACGCATAGAGACATCTAAGGGAAAGAAACATGGCTTATGTTTTCCATTACATAGGTGTTGGTCATGGTACTGGAAAGGTATTGCAACTTTAGACAAGCCCATGCTTTCCCCAAGCATTTTAGTAAAAAGTAGACAAAAAGGCATTTTATGCTCCCTGATCCAATTTCAAATGGACAAATACTGACAGAGGCCTAGTGGCCTGAAAATTTGAAATTAAATTAAGTTTTAAGTTGTCTAAAAGCAGGCAGATCTTATACTTTCCCACTCTAAGAAGTTGGAGTGTGAAGTCACACTGTATTAGATTTCAGAAAACTCAGGGAAGAGAGACTTTATAAACACCTACATACAGTCAGATTGCTTAAACTGATTTAAAATTCCTGGAGAGAATTTTCAGAAACACAGAAACTTCATGAGAATTAGATATTGAACTCCCATTTCTGCCTTTGAAAATCCTCCCCCATAAATTTCATATTTATAGGACTTTTTTATTTGAGAAGTCAATACAGATTTCTTAAGTATGTACATGATACTAACTTTTATTTTATTGAACAGTATTGTGCATGCTAAGTTGTTGCAAAGATACAGTAAAGAGAATACTAGTGCTGCTAAAACACAGTTCCCAATTCTGTCAAAACTTTTATATCACTTTTATATCAGTAGCAATTATGACCAAAATCAGGGTTTTGGTGCCAGGTTACTTGTTCTTTGAGAAAGCATTGTTTTAAAGACAAGCATAGCAAAATAACAGGACTCTTCCCTTCCCAAACCTAAGACATAAAAATAAAAGTTTTTTTATGTTAAAATACATTTTAATGCTGAAATATTTCCCTTACAAAAACAAACAAACCCCAGAACTACAGAGACCTGGTTTAGCAGATAACATACGCATGTGCTTACCTTAAAATGTCATTGACTACTGCTGTCACTGAATTTTGAGTTGCATTTGAGCTTGAGAGAGGGCAAAGACACAGTGTCATCGAGGTATACTCAGTGAGGACAGTCCCTGTGCAGTTCTGATTTATATCACCAGGTTACCTAATAGAGCTGTTTCCCTGTCTTATCCTTATCTGAGTAGGCATTTGTCGTGCTAGGTAATTCAAAGTAGATTTGTCTGGAAATAATTAGTTTATGTCTAATTAAAAGATACTGTCTTATCCTTCTATGCTCTGTGGATACTGCTTGTGAACTTATCTCTAAATCAACCAAGTAAGCAAGAAGGAAGAGTTGTTAACCATTTCCATAACAAGTTAACCTGTATTGATCAGATAATGCTCCAGATGAGATCTGCCTCGTGTAGAACTTTAGAGACACCATGGGAAACAAGCCAATGGTGTATGCATCTTCTGTTGCGGTGCCTGATCTGCTTCTAATCCCAATACTTAATCTCCACAGCAGCCATAAAATGCACATCATAAGGTAGTAACCTTATGCAGTACCAGTGCAGTGGTAACCTGGGCATTCTTGCTGTTGTTCCTTGTAACTCTTATAAGTCAGTCAAGCCAAGATTTAGAATCTTCATATATAATAAAATGAAAAAAAAAAAAAGAAGAAGCAAGGGGAATGATTAAAGTCTTTTAAGATCTGATTTAAGGCATACTGAAGCTAATGATAGTTTTTTCCGACCTGACTCCGAGAAAATGCTATTGTATTAATTTCTCTTGAAGGTAACAGGTGCCCTTGGGCTATTCAGAGCAATGCAGCAAAAATTCACAGCATTGAAGTAAATCCAGTGTTGAGTAAATCAGTGATTCTGTTTCTCTTTAGACAGTGATGGCCCATGCCTGCTATCTTTCTGAAGAAGAGCTGAAACTTTTTAACCTTCGTGGAGCTTCAATTTCACATTGTCCCTGTTCCAATTCTTCGTAAGTTTAAAAAAACAAAAAAGAAAGAAAGAAAGAAAAAAAAATACTGTTAGATAAAGCTGTTTTTCACATAGTGCTGTCAGTCCAGCCTGCAATCACAGGTATAGGGCAGGTCCTTCCACTAGAAGCAGTCTCTCATGCAGGATGGATGATGACTATGAATGTTCTACTTCTGCACGGTATGCTTTCACTGGCTAGAGGTCTTTGAGTACCATATTATGTATCGGAATATGTCTTCCTCTGAGGTTCATTATTTTATGACTCTTCCATCAGCAACAGATTCTGGATGTCTCCCATTCCCCTAAAAGTATATTTGTGTTTGGGGAATTCTTGTAGACTTATGACATGCTTATGACATGACTGGATACATTTTAAGAATTCTATTAGGCAGACATGATGCCAGCTAAATGTTTGCAGTGGTTTTGCCTTTAATATAACCAGTATCTGTTAGTGATGACATACCAGAGCTTAAAAGATTCATGAAATGAGCTCCCATCTCGTATGTATACTTCACATTATACATGAGTTTTCTTCCCTAAAATATTAAGCGCTGTTTTTCAGCAAATGACTATAAACCTGCTGGATTTTTATATTAAGAATTTTTGCTCTATTTTCAGTAATTAAGAAACAGAATTTAGGCTTATGAACGCAAACACTGTTGCCTAATGTATCACATGTTCTGAGAGCTACTCTAAAGCTCTACTGTTACTGAATTTCAGGAATGAACTTTTCATTGTATGTATCATACAAGATATGTTTCTTATTCCAATTCAGGTTGTGCAGTGGTATCTTAAATGTACAAAAGGTTCTGAAACATAATGTGAAGCTTGGCCTTGGCACAGGTTTGTAATTTGCTATGGAACTAATCATTTTTTGAAAACAATTCAAAGATACAAAAACATACCACATGTTTGTATTTTAAACTCAGCATGATTCCAGCCAATAGACTTGGTCGTCCTTTGTTTTTCTTTTTTTTTTTTTTCCTTCTACTTCAAATCTAGCACTGACTAAAAAAAAAAAAAAGTTGAAAAAAATAAAAAAGTGAATAAAGAAAGTAATGTTTTTGTCATGAAAATAAGCAAAACCTGAACTACAATTTTTCACAAATTTCTGTTAGGCTATGTTGCCTTTTTTTTTGCATGATTTTTTTTTCTAGAAGCACATGCGACCCTATGCCTCATGCTCTATGCCTGCTTGAGCAGGGGGTTGGACTAGATGACCTCTAGAGGTCCCTTCCAACCTCAACCATTCTGTGATTCTGTGATCTACTTTTTGCAATAGATACTGTTTAGCAATAAAGCTTTTCATGTTTACTGCATCTACTCCTTCGTAACCTTTCACTAAAGCTCATAATTTTTGAATCCAGAGAATTATTCCCAAAACTTGTTTCTAAGATTCTGATCTCTTCTAGATGTTGCTGGTGGATATTCAGCTTCCATGCTTGATGCGATCAGAAAAACAATGATGGCATCTAATGCCCTTCTACTTAATAAAGTGAATGAAAGAGGACTAACTCTTGAAGAAGCTTTTCGACTAGCAACCCTAGGAGGAAGTCAAGGTAAGAGAAATTTCTCTAGAATATACATAGGGAACTACAGCTCTTTCTTTATATTGTTCCCTGTCCTTGTCTTTCTTATTTTTTCTTCAAAGGTGACTGAACTCACAGATATTCTTATGCTAGAATTAAGACTAATAATACATGTCGTGGATAGAGATTTTTTTTTAGTCTTTCAAAAATAGCAAACTGATTTCTGAAAATCATTCTCTGACAATGTGACAATTTAATAATAGAATCTTAATGATTTTTCAGGACTACATTCTACATTCAGGATTCTGCATTCTACATTCAGGATTACATTCGATTTGAAAAAGTCCTGAGACTGTGGTGTCACACAAATTGTTGTTTTCTCAACAACAATCAGTAAAAGAAAAACTGTGCAATTACTACAAAATTATGCATCATATTTGTCACCTCTCTTAGTTTGTTTCTTCTTTTGAGACCTTGGTGAGGTGACTTGTTACTGTCTTTCCAGCAGGGCAAAATATGATGCAAATCACCCCAGACAAAAGCCAAGTTTAAGCAGCATATACATCTTAAAAATGCTAATCATATCTGATACAATCAGTATTCACAAATACTCAATGTTTATACAATTAGCAAAATTTTATTGGACTTTGTATGATTTTGAAGTAAATAATAGGAAAAAAAGGGCTACACAGAGGTAAAATTTTACACATGATTAAAAATTTCTAATTGTTTTGGTTTGCTATGTCCACTACTGTTTCTGAGCATTTTTTGTTGTTGATTTCAAAAAACACAGGTAATTGAAACTGAAAGCATTAATGAAACCTTGCAAGTTGTAATGAAAATTTCCTCAAGTAGCTTTTCTCAGGTGTGCAGCTGAACTAGAGGGTGTAATTGGGGAACAGAGAAGACAGAAAGAAAATGAGCAGAGGCCATAAAAGCAGAAATTAATTTCCCAGAATAAATACGGTGCTAATCAAAGGCAAGAGTAAGATACAGAAACAGAAAGGAAAATTTTTCAAAATTCCAAACTTACATGTGGCTTCTTCCCCTCTCTACAGCTCTTGTGGCTGGTTTATCTGCATTCTGGAGTTTACAGAACTGTCATGTATTTGTTTTATTTTAAACTATTTTATGCTTGCCGAATTACTTTCAAAAAGGGTGTAAAATTAAAGTTACTGGTATACCCTGTGATGAACAGAGTTTTGAGAAATTTAAATGTGACAGCATTTTTGTTGGAATAATTTGCTTTGCTGAGTCTCCTGAACATTTGTCACCCTCTTGTGTTTAATCGAAAAATTGCATTCTGCTCGCAGCCCAAAAGAACATGAGATCCTTTTAGTTGAACTGCTAAGCAATCAGAGGTAGAGTTTCCTCATTCTGAGGAGTGTTAAGTGTATGGTATTATGAAGTTTCTGTCTCACACAGTTTGTTAAAGACAGAAATTCATTTTTCAAATAGATGCAGTCTAAAAACAAGTGAACAAATTATGTAGTTATTATCTCATTCGGTAATTTAATTCAATGGAAGATTTTAATTTCATATTTAGATACTTTGTAACATAAAAATATCCCAAGTTATTTCAAAGGAGATGCAAAGGCATCTCTTTAGCTGTTCCAATCTCTTGGAAGGATCCATTTGTACATAATAAAACTGTAAATTTCCACTGTTTGTGGACCTAAGATCCCAAGGTCGTGATGAACCATAAAGTTCATCATTACAGTTCATTTATGGTGTAAATAATGTAGTTTTCTACCACAAGAGAAGCCTTACAACTGGCCATGGGGGCTTCAGATCTGAAGATGACTTTTGCCTACTAATTAGCCTTAATTATACTCTCAACTAATAATAAACATATCTTACTTATTTTTATTATATTATTATATGTTACCCTGCAAGCAACAATGTAGCCTGCCTTAGCAAGGTGAGCATTACTTACCCATACCTTACTATTGGTCTGACTTTATTTCATCCCTTTGGAACTTCCAGGATTTTTGTGAGGAATTCCTGTTCTATCTACAAAAAATAGTAGTTTATGCATGAGATCTGTACATTACAGAACTAAGGGAGAACATTCAAAGAACAAAAACTAAAAATGGGGTTTGAACTGTTGTTGTTGTCTTTCGCATAGAAGCTGCCCTTCATCATTTCACCTGAAGATATATATTTTTCCTGAAAAACTGCTGAAGAACTCAGATGTCAGCATGCTGACTATTATAATTACTTTCAGTCTTTTTCTTGTCGCAATCTAAACTCTTTTTGTTCTTCTTAGGACTTTCTCAAGTAAGTCGCCAGACTTTCACTGAAGACCTGTTTGTAAACTTACTTTGATTCTCAGTTCTAGGTCTAGAAAATGTGATTGGAAACTTTGAAGTTGGCAAAGAATTCGATGCACTGCTGGTAAACACAAAGGCTTCAGACAGTCCTTTTGACTTGTTCTCTTCTGATGCTTTTGAGGTAATGAAAAAAGAGTTCATGAGCCAAAAAATTGTTGAAAATAATGTGATAAAGGGCTGTGATAACCCTGATGAGGCTCTAATAATTCTGGTTGTATCTCAGTGACAGGAATCTGGTATATTGCACTGTTCCTGTCTGTGTTGCTGCTCAAGCAATACAGAACTATTCTCAGAACTGAATTAGCCACAATGACAGTCTTACTTCCTTGTGAATAAAAAGGCATATAAAATTTTAATGTATGTTTTACTAGCTAAAGTTGGCAACTGGAGTCAGCTAATTACAATGACAAATAGCTGCTAGGAAAGAGCAATTTTGTTTCAGTTAACATTTTGAATACAGTCAAATTCCAGATTGTCTTGACTTCACTGCTATTGTAAACGGAAGAAAAAAACTCAAGATAGCTAATTTGAATTAAAAGCACAGGTTTTTGTGAATTTTGTGATACCAACCACCAGTGGTATTATTCTGTAGGGACACCGTCTGAAACAAAATCTTTCTATGATTAAAAAAAGTAAGGAAGGGCAGTTATTTGAATTTACTGATGCAGCCAGGCTGCTGCTTATTGCTTGTGTTGTGAAGGCCATCATTCACTTAGAAGTGCTGGCATAACTGGTCAGGTAATTGTTCCTTAACCTCATTCAGTCACAGTAATCTGTGTTAGATTAAATTTAGATTAAAGTCTTTGAATTATAAATATATTTTTCTAAATGAAATTGTTCTGGGAGAAAAAAAAAAAAAAAAAACAGTATCAGCCAAAACACAGTAAGCCAAGTTTGAAGTTCTTGTGACTATAAAAATCCTAAGAACTTTGTGCCATTTTTCAATAGCAGTAAGTTAATTTGAGAACTCTAAACATGAGAAAGGGGAAGTATTGTGCTCTAGGCATGTGTTTGTTTAACAGCTGTACAAATGTGTAGTATTTTCTTCCTGAAATGAAATATTGAATAATTATTAGAAAATGAATAATTATTAGCAAACCTGCACATTAACTTTTGATTTTTACAGTTATTAATTATTTTTAGAAAAACTATTTTTATGAACAATTCCACACTTCAAATAATACTTTATTTGAGAGAAGACATACCGCCTTTTGAATTTGTTTTTCTGTTTTTCAGGATACCCTCCAGAAGTTCCTGTATCTAGGTATGTTTTCATCCTTGCCTGACACGAAATTTGCTTTTTGGTTTTTATGTTAAAAATCTCCTAAGATGATATGGAGATACATTTATTTATAAATATTGAGTAAGTATCGAGCAATGCAACTTTTGTCCTTTGGGGAACCTAGTAAAATATTTCGTTTAACACTATCAGATGCACTGTCAGATTTATTTTTAGAACAAAGTACTTCTGCAGACCAGTTGTTATCTAAGCCTTAAAAAAAAAAAATCTAAGAGATTGGATATTTTTTACGGCATTCTCTAGAGGAAGAGCTTTGCTGCGTATTGTGGTGCTCGGCAGAGATTTTGGAGTCAGCTCTGGCCACATCCGTGTGGATCTCTGCTCAGGCTCCCAGGCTTTTGTCCTCTGAGAAGTTAGCTCAGGCTCAGAGCAATATCCCAACACAGCTCTGCTAGGGGCTGGTATCTCAGTTAGTTCAGATAGATCTGTGCAGCAGTGCATCTTATGTACAGACATAAATTCAGGTTTTGAATCTTCTAAATATATAGAAATTCCATGCCTTTATTGCAAAAGCTGAATGCAGACCCTTTATTTCTTTATAAAAATGTATAGGTATTATAATGTTTCTTGATCTTTATAGTAGTCATGACTATTCCTCTTATGAAAATGAAGTTTCTAAGTTGTAGAAATAGTCAGCGAAAATGATTCAAAAACTGAGGGTCGGATCTGTTTCAGTAAATAGATTGGTGCATAGACTTACGTGCAAATTTTTTTATGGCTGTATTGTTTCAGGTGATGATCGGAACATTTCTGAAGTATATGTGTCTGGAAAGCAAGTGGTTCCTTTTTCAAGTTCAGTATAAATCCATCTCACTTCTGCAAAGCATTCTGCTGATTGTTCTGCATCTGATTAGGAAAAAAATTGTTAAACACCGTGCCTGATTATCAGGAATGAGACCTTATTTTCTGTTTAATGTTTCAAAACTTGTGAATGTTAGAAAATTCGTTAAACCTTTAAAGAATTATTTTACCAAAACTGTCACAATTGTAAGAGGAAGAAGGCTTCTCTATGAAAACAGGCTGTGTGCAATGATAAGAGATATGGTAAATATCTTCTTTAAATAGGACAACTGTTGCTCCTTTTAATAATAGTGAAGGAAGTATTAAGATGAGCAATGAAACATTCCTTGTCTCTTAAGTATTTGCATTCCAAACAACCCTAACTCCCAACCACTAGTAAATCTATTTTGCAAACACTGAATGTCATGGAATAGTGCAATTTCCTCAGTATTATCACTGATCCTGTAATAATAAAACCCAGTGGCATTTGGGGACATTTAAAAATTTTTGGTTTTGTTTAAGTGCTTAATTTTTAGAACCGTGATTTCATTTAAAGCATTATATTTTTAATAGAAGTAAATCAGAAGTGTGCATTTATAGGTAGGTAGAAGTCCTTATTCTGAAAAAAATAAGACTTATCGTAAGTAGAGAACTGATGGATGAACCATATAAAAATCAGTGACTGGTCAAACAGGCTCAAGCTGGGAGAGATGTGTTAGTTTTTTGATCACTGAAAGTCTGTACCTATCTCTTCAGTTTTGTTCTTGAGTCTAGAAGCAGTCAACCTGATCTTGCACCGTTTTTGTTCCATTGAACTGAATGTGTTCCACTGAACAGAGTGACAGCTCAACGAAACTAGTGTTAAATCAGAAGCAAAAGCTAGCACATCTGTGTGGGCTACTCTGTGGTAAATAAATGGAGTGGTTTTTTTTTTTTTTTTGGAAAGAGAGAGTATTTTGTGCAGTTTACCTCCTAACGAAACTCCGAAGTTCTTTTGCTCCTAACTATTGAGACTATGGGCCATGATGACATTTCTGCTTGCTGTAAGAGACATTAGTAGGTTAAAAAAAAATCACTAGAAATGGATTATCCCTGGCTGTTACCACTTTTGACTTAAGGTGGAATTTCTTATTAGAAAAAGCAGCATTTCAGCTTTGAAGTGCCCTTTTGTGTCTTTCAGCACTGAAGGAATCATAATTGCAGCCCTGTACAATTCCAGACTAGGGAAAAAAAATGTTGGAAGTCTGTGTGGCTTCCTTTCCTAAAAAAAAGCATACTTGCCTATTTTTCTTACGAGACTCAGCCGGGTTGGATGCTGCTTCCTGTTGCTCTATTGCTGTTTTGCAACACAAAAGGTATAAGCTTGAATGTCAGTGTCAGTAGATACAATGTTGCACAGAGTTACTGTAATCATGTAGTGAATGTAATTTTAAGGTGTGCTTCAAATCTGCTTGCACTGAGCTGGGTTTCGTACTTTCACCTCTCTGCCTGATGGTGTGAAGGCGCAGGGCTTCCTCATGTGATTAAATAAAGGAGATAATTCACAGCATCACAGAGCTGCCCTTCATCAAACCATTCCTGGAGAATGGTTTGCTCAGTATAACTGAAAATTTGATCTTATTTCAAAAACATCTGTACAGGGACAGTATAGAGCCATGTAGAAGAATCCAAACTGGCTCATGCATGGAAGGCAGGCTAGGCTCTTCTGTGTAGTGCTTGCCTAGGCCGAGGTGTTCATCATCATCTCCTGAAGATGGTGTTGCCCTCCTGGCTTGCAGACACCGCTCCAGTGCATCAGCACTGCCTGCTCGTTCAGACCCAGCTCGGATTTCTGACCCCGTCACGGCACTGTGCACTGTGCACATGTGCACTCAGGTATGGTCTTTGTATCTGTTATAATCAATCACTCTTAATGTCTTAGGAGAAAAGGCTGAAGGATTAAGGTTTTCACATTTTTCTTTACACTTTTGGATTTCGTTTGTCCCAATCTCCTCCAAGGAACAAAATTTATCAGAAAATACAATCCTAAATTTTTATCTTTGTTGCTGATTCAGAGGCATTTTTCCTCACAATTTTTAACATGGATTTAACTGACGATATTTCGCATTCCAAAACCAGAGATCTGCTAGACACCTGTTTTATTCTTCCTGGTTACTGTTTGAAACTATTTTTAGGAAGCTTCGTGGTTTTCAGCTTTGGCGTTCCTGCAGGAATGTGTTCAGAGATGGAGAAAGATTACATGGCCCTGTGCACTATATGTATTTGTGCTACACTTCTTTGTTTCCAGAGTTATGAATTTAATCAAAATTTTTATTTTAATGGTAGTCCAAATTGTGCCTGATTTTTATTGCTTCCCTGCTTTTTTTTTTTTTCACTTAAGAATGGGATGTAACTCTTTGTAAAAGATTTGGGGGGAGGGAAGGATTACGTTTTTGCAAACTGTGAATATAAAAAAGACTTTATGAAGCTCAATGCTACCTCCTGCTGGCCGGGATACAAAGGGACTCCCTAGGATAACAGCTGCCAAAGAATTTTGTATTTTAGTATTGGCTGTGTAATGAGCAGTTTGATTCTCATTAAATTCAGCCACAAGGTAGAAACTTAGGTGTTTGATTTTACCTTCAATAGTGTCTGGTTGTTCCCCAGATGTAGAGCTGGGAAATCAACTTTTCTGGAATCTCAGCCTGCAGGTAGCACCGTGTGCTTTACAGAGAAAGGGAAGAGCAAGCACTAACACTAAGTTGAATAGCATCCCACTAAACATTGAGATGATTGAGAAAATTAGTCTAGGCCAGTGGAGGAATTAGTGTAGCCATACAACAAACAAACTAGAAGCTAAGTTCAGCAGCTGCATCTTAAATAAAGTGGAATGGACCAAGAGTATAATGCCAGAAGGGGAGTCCTCAAGGTGCTCCCACAAGCAAGAGGGAGCAACTTGAGGGGGTGGAAGATGGCTTGTGCCCAGAATTTTAAGGTTCCAAGGGATCCTTTGTGATGCAGAGGATATAATAGCCAGAGTTCTTGGAAAAAAATTTATGAAAGTCACTGGAGATCCCACCTGGAAGTGTAAGTCCTTGGCACCGTGTGGCTGTATGGCACTGTCCAGTTACTTGGCGGAAGGATTGGTTCGGGGGGGGAAAAAAGCCGCTGCTGACACTCGTATGCCTACCCTGTATCCTGCTTCTGAATACATTAGTCCCAATCCCTGGATGTATTTTCCCCCTGCATGTGTGGTTTGAAGCAAGCCAACCAATTGGCGCAGGCTCTTAATGCCTCCATAGGCCAGTGTGCATCTGAGCCTCCAGTATAGTTTCCTCCAGATGAAAGTAACTCCTTGTGCATCAGAAATACTCTGCAGTCTCAACCAATGTTCAATAAGTGAGCATGATTGGGGAATTCACTTCAAAACAGCACTGCTGCTTTGAAACAGAAAACTGATGGAGGAGGATAGGCCTTTCAATCTTTCCCTGCCATCCTCACTGGCACAAAACGGACTAGCAGAAGACAAAGCAATCTCCTCTTTTCTTCCTTTCTCTTAAAAAAAAATAAAAGAAAAAAAAGAAGAAAAAATGAAAATAAGGCAACAGAAGACTAACGAGAGTTGCGTAAGCAGAAGAAAAGATAAGGCTGATTTCAGTCAGTGAAAATCGACATGGCACCATTGACTTTAGCTAAGCATCTGGCCTTCAGAATACCAGTGTAAGATAAAACCTCCGGAAAAATGTACACCCAACTGTTTCCAGATGTCACTCCCCATTAGTTCTCTTGCCAGATTGTGGATAGGATCTTTGTTTTTTAATGTGCTTTGTGTTCAGTGTCAGCACGGCATTCAAACAAAAAGGAAGAAAAGAATAGTTTGAGAAGCTTGCTTGCTGGGACAATATACTTAATGTGCAGTGTGTTCAGACCGGCACTTATTTGTTATAAATGGAATCTATTTGAATTATTTTTATATGTTGTTCTCATTGTGTCACTTCAGTTTTTGATTATTAATGAAATGCTACTAAGTATCGCTTATGCATTATGCAGCGTTATTTGAATTATTCATGTGTGGCAATTGGAGTTCTGCACTTTAAAATGTTGCCTTAGCCTAATGTTTGTATTTATTCTGTGGGTTATTTTTTTCTTCCAAACAGAAAGCTTTGTAGAGAAAAATGTGTATTTGTTCACTGTACTGAACATTCTCATTATTATAAATGGAATTTCTGACAGAAAAAGAAATGTTAAAATGATCCTCTTTAAAAGTCTGTGCCTGATTATACACCCATGGATGAAAAGCGTAAGGGTTTTATGAAAACTGACATGAATAGTAATGTTTTAATTAAGAAATACTTAAAGGGAGATAGGTTTTTATTTTAATCATGGTTATGCAATGAAGATTAACAAAAAACAAATCATTCTTGCCAAACATCTACTGTTCGTACTGAGCAAACAAGAATGTAACTGCTCTTATTTAAACACTTAACAAGAATACACATGCTATTTTGAAAAATAAAAAGAGATTTTCAGAGAGTACCCCAGCTTTCAAAATAAGATATCAAAAACATTGCTTATAAAACCTGTTTAAAATGGTGTTTTGAGCAGTTCCAAAAATAATCCATGACAGATGACCAGGTGAACGGTGTTTAACATAATACTTGGTGGTGCCTTATCTGCCTCTAGGGTGCAGCCCTGTGTGTAGTAGTGACCAGTGCATCTCTAAAATGATGGTGCACCACTAGAAGACACTTCAAAAAAGTCAAGGTATTTCGAGAATCGAGAAGGTCCTGGAAAAAAATCTAATCTGAAAAGAGTTTAAAAGAAAAAGGTAGACAAGAAAAGGATGGCAGCAGAATATGAAATAATGGAAAACAGAAGCTAGATCAGAGGAGCTCACATGAAAAAGAAGTTGAAATTCTAGTTAGGTAATAGAATGTTAAGAAAAATAATACTTTTTCAAGGAACAGTCAGTTAAGTCAGGGACATCATTTCTACTCAAAATCTTTGAGGTCCAGAATCCAAGCAGATTTCTGAAGGGAAACAGTCGTTTGTATGTGTAATATCCTTTCCTGCCCTCTTCCCTGTGGTCCGTTGATGACTGAGTCTGGCACAGGAGTATCTGGTGTGG